TGTGTGTGTGTGTGTGTATGTGTGTGTGTGTGTGCGTACACCTACACACACGCTGGCGTGCGTAGAGATACGCGCGCGCATATTACTATAAGTGTTATACAAGAGATTAAGCAAATTATTAATTATTATCGCGGTTGATCACGTCGCAACGGCGCGCCCGCCGATCGTTGACGATCTGTAAAAACTGTTTACGAGTGAATGGCGAATAAAATATTATAACAACGAGCCCGCAACGTGTTATTGCATCCTGCCAGTTAGTCGAATGCAGCTGTAGGAATGCCGTAGAAATGAAAATGAAATTGTTATCATCGAACAACTACGATTTTATAGCCGTTGAAGAAAGACGGTAAGTATCCCGTACTTTCGTACTTATGAACGAAAAATGACTAAATTCTTGGAAACTAATTGTACAAATCCCGCTTATACAAATTTCTCATTTTATTACTAATATTGCGGACAATTATGTTATTAATAAATTGTTAAATGCATTGCAATTGCAATTGTAATGCAAATGCAAAATACTTAAGAATCTATGAATTAGATTCTACTTCGTTAAACGTTAAATAGAACGTTCAATAAGTACTCGCGCCCTATATCGTAATGATTTATTGCTGCTATTACAATTACAATAATCTGCACTTTTATCACGTAATGCGTAACATAAATATAATATGGCAGAGTTAATGACGGTATCTCTCATCATTACGGCATGAGTTTACAAAATGCGACTTATTGTCGTCGTAGTATGAAGATTACTTGAAATCACTTGTCGAATATTTCGAGTGAGGCAAATTCTCCATCTTCTTGTTTTCTGTTGTATCTGACTCTAAATTTTTAAAACTTTCACACGGCAAAGAGAGTGGAGAGTCAAGTACGAAATTTCTAGAATATTCTATATTCGCATTACGACTCTTTTGGCAAAGTACAAAAGTCTTAATTATTTTTACTTAGAGAAGACATTTTCTGGAATTCATTTTAGAATCGATGACGCTCCCAATTAGACTCTCAATTTCAAGTCTTGCGAAGAAACCTCGTTCACGCGTGGTCCTTTTCATTCTGTATCGAGTAATCGTTATTGGAATCTGAACTCTGAAATATGAACATATTGCTCCAAATTTGTATCAAATTGCTATCTCCGAACTTTTATAATTAATATGAAATGCTATCCTCATGTTTCAGTTTCTCTTCTAGAAAGAATTGTGGCAATAGTTTCACATGGTGAATAGTGTCCTCTCAGCCTGACGATTGTTATCGAGAAATTTTGCTGCTATTAATTTATCATATCCTCTTCTCTCAATACATCGTTCTGATATCTAAATCTGATAACAGGAACGACATATCGCCACGTCAACATATTCTTGTCTTTATCTTCTCCGTTCTGGGAACATCGTCACAAGTAATACATTCCTCGATAAGGGAAACAATTTCAATGCGAGCAATCGGTTTTCTTGATCCTACTTAAGAGTTGGATTAGCGTCACGATGCCATCTCGATAATTCCGATCTAAATCATAGTCATCCCCCGGGAAGACGTGCGTGAAGTCAATCATTTTTACTTTGACCCATTTGCACTCTTTACTCGTTGGAGCGCTTTCATCATTCCTCTTCTTAATAGTATGTGTGCTTAAAAGTGAAAACTTGCTCGGACTGGAGCGACATAACCGATCCACTTTGGCTTCCAAATTGTTCTGAAGTACTTGTTCGCATGGCATCGGTACTGGTCCGCTTGCGCTCTTTCTGAGTCTCGGTCTAATCTCTTCCAAATTAGACAAATATGTAAAAGGAGATATCATAGAAAAATTTTCGATACAGCTTTCTTTAAGGGACATGCGTTTCTGCGCGTTAAAATTAAAGCGACCTTCGTACATTGGACAGTGCTGTCGCAAATATCGGGCATCGTAGGCGACCAAAAGTGAGCTGGAATAGAAGCGATATTTCTTCTGTATGTTGAAGAATCGCTCAATTTGGTACAGGTATGTTAAAAGTTCGGAGACCAATTGCCGGCAGGCTGGCTCTCCAGATCTTACGTTCAAGAAATCTTCCAGCGCTGTGTGAAGACAAGAAGAGTTTTAACGCGATTTCAAAAAAATGGAAATCTTAAGGTCTTATTACTAGATTACAGAATATGAAAATTTGTTTTGTTAATACTGAACTAGCAATTAACTTATTATTAATGATAAATTATACTTGATGGTATGATTTAATTCAAATTACATAAACAATATATAGAAGGAATAAAACGTAATACTAATTATATATTCCTGATTTCTAAGGAAATATTCTTCCTAGACATAATCGTGGAATTGCATCGATGTTTTAATATAATTTAAATTAATTTCGTTGATATTAGAATTTCAATTCGATCGTCAATGAGTTAAAGGCTTAATCGTAGCCTTCTGAAATAAACTTTTAAAATTCGTAAATCTTGCAGATACCTTGTACAACGCCTAGGACACCAAGCTGCTTGCCATAATCTCTGTCATATTTCTTTAATCGTCCAGTGGAGAGAGAATACACTTGATAACCAGTTATACAAAAACCATAAGTACGCTTCGATTCGGCGTACTTGAGTTCTTCCGTTTTTCTCTTCTCTGGCGTGGCTAAAGGATCCCATGTGCGATAACCGATCTTAATATCCATTACACATGGTTCGGCCATGTCTTTTGTAATATCTCTAAGCATGAGGAACTTTGTACCTGTTAGCGGACAAAATGATTTGATGAAGAAAAGATGTCCAGATGAATAAATAACTAGCCATTCAATATTATATTCATATCTCACGCTTGATTTAGTTAATTTTTATATCGCAATTACAATAACATATATATATATATAAACTATGCCCATATACAGATACATATGTGACGCGCGCACGCGCGCGCGCGCGCGCGCGCAATGTACGCAAACTTTAAGAGAGTTAAGTGCTAATTCAGTCTTATTCACAGAGACATTGTATCACATTTGTAGACTCAAGAGTCATTTGTACAGTCAAAAAATCCTTACGGTTATTAAAGATTCGCAGTTCCGTCGTGCCATAATAATGTGGAACGAATTTTTTTAGTTGCTCTGTGATAGGATCTTGAGAAGTCTTCAAGTTCTCATAGAAACCAATTTCTCTTTCTCCAAGGATTGCTTTAGTCGCCGGTTTCAGTACATAACCAGTCCGTCTGCATACCAACATACCTGCAGTCACAAACAATCCTTCATGAAGTTTACCAAAACACATGTGTTTATATCACATATGTGTTTAATAAACATATGTGTTTAATCAGATAAATGCCGAATTTACCAAATTTTTATTCTATCAAAATAATATTTTTATATTAATAAATAAAATATTTTTTTTTCTCTCTTGCTTCGGCATATTGAGTAACAGGTATAAACACATATAGATTGACCTTGGTAATCGGTATAAGTATGTATAAGAACACGTGCAAATAAGAGATTAGAGTGAAATCCTACGATCGCTAGTTTAATTTTAAATCAGAGATAAATAAATCCGTTATTTCATCAATATCCAGAAATATATCAATCTTCATTTATGGATATCCAAATATTGCAATTTTCGAATTTCACATTATCAATTTTGCAAAATGTATTAATTTCTATTAGCTTACTTATGTTTTATTACATTGTTATATTTTATATAAGCATTATATAAACATTATTAAAACATTCATATAAATATTATATAAACATTTATAAAGATTTGAAAAATTTGCAATTAAATAATGAAAGACTACTTCAAAGCTTGATATTTTTTTGTTTTTCTTTTTGTCACATTGCAACACAATAAAAATTAGACATAATTTTAACATCTATGAGTCACGAACTTTTCAAATGACTCTTGTAATTGTCGTTCTACAAGGATAAATGTTTGGAATCGCATTTACCAATAGTGCGTTTTTCACCATCAAAAGGATGACCAGCTATTTGGCATTCCAATGGTGTTAATCCAGGGGGGAACATGAACCCTGTTGCTTCGGTAGCTGCTGTATAGGTACTGTCCCATACCACATGTGGCAGTTTCTCATCAGACTCCACGGTTGTCATAACTAATGATAATTGTGCGATAGCAATTATCTCTGCAAATTAAACGTCCCATGATTATTATACAACTCCAAACCAGTCTATTCCAGATCAGTATTTCGTCAAGTTTGTATCAATAACTATAAAACGTGCAAAAATATCGCCTTGTGTTTTTTATGGCACATTTTATTATTGCCTTACACAACGTCTATTTTTTATGGCATAATTAAAATTTTTAGATTTAAAACGAAACAGATACATGAACATTGGAAAGAAAGGAAAGAAAAAAAAAACAAAACAAAACATTCAAGTCTGACTACAAAGAATAAATGTATTGTTTTCTTGCTTTTATCATTTCTAAACGAGATAGAAAAATAAGATAAAGAAAGAATCTCTGGAAAATATTTCTCCCTTTTCCGCACTTTCACCTTGCTCGCAACGGGAAATTAAAATGAACCAAAATGAAAAAAAAAAACGGATTTCGTTCGTTGAAATCGTATTATCGAACGCTCGCGCACAGAAATCTTTGTCGCCGAAGTGTGACGCTCTTTCTCTTCGCTCTTCTTCCGCTTAATCTCTATTTTTCTACTTCTTATCTCTTTATCTATCCCCTTTACCAGTTTATTTTTCCCAGTACAAACGTTGACAAGTGTGCGCAGCGTCGATTCGTTATTATATCGTTATGACGATGCGCGAGGCGATAAGACAACGGCGATCCTCTTCCCCCCTTTTCCTTTTTTTTTCCTTTTTTTTCTTTTCAAGCAACGGCGATAGAGCGCGATCGATTCCACGCATCGCGATCCCGATTCCGTGTTATTTCTGCCGCGAAAAGCGCGCCTCGATACTCGGTATTGTTATCGCTGCGTTATACAGGGTGCTCCAGAAACGCGTCCCTCGCGATCGACCGTCGCTTCTCGATCGAACGCTTTCGCGTCTCGCCGCGTGAAATGTCCGAGCGACGATCGAGAAGCGAGTCGCGCGCGAAGATTCGCAAACTTTCCGAACGATTCAGAAGCGGATTGCCGAAAAAAAAAAAAAGACGAGAAAAGCTCCTTGCGCTTCGCGCGACGAGAGAAAAAGACACCCTCCCCCCCCCTAACCTCACTTTCTCCGTTTCGCGCGAGGACGCTCCGCGTCGAGAAACAACAAAAGGTCGATATATTAAACATGTGCTCGCTCGCTCACTCACCTATTCGCTCTCTCGCTCGCTCTTTGTCTTCCAGTCGATTGTTAAACCTGACTCTCGCGTGCGTGCGTGTTATAACCTATATAACAACGACGCGCGAATGACCAAGCGTAGACGACGGCACGTTGCTCTCCCTCGCCGAACGAATGTCGAATGTCCTGTTTTTCCCTCGACTCGGTCACGAGTTCCCACCGATTGCGTTGCACCGCGTCACGTAATATCCGCCAGCTCGCTTGCGTGCGTACGTGCGTGCGTCAGTCGAGTCGCGAAATCATTCCGTTGTGCGTATGTATGTACCGCCACGCTCACCGCCATTGTCGCCATCTGTTGTCCAACGTTGTCCTGCTGATTTTCAATTCGGAGAAATTTAATCGTAAATGAGGGCGGTATATTCATAGGGCTGCTTTTCTATTAATTTTTTTATTGGCTAATTCTTAGAACTAGAAAAAGATGAGGAGTAAGCTGAACAGCCGAGATTAAAGTTAATCTACGTTGGTGGAATCGGGTATTAATCGGCCAATTATCTCTATTGGAATTGACTAATCGCATTTCGTCGTTAACAAAAATGACAAATGCGATTGGTCAATTAATCAATGGGATAATCAGCCGATTAAGGTTAACAGGAGACCGGTGAAGGTCGCCCCAATGGAATAATCAATCGATTAAATTAATCAAAGATGGAAAAGTCAGTTCTAAATTTATGAAGTGTTGATCACTTTAGCAATTAACTTTGATCGATTCTTGTTTTTAGTTTCTCACCAAATTTAAATGTATAAATTAATTATATTTAAAAAACACAAAATAAAATAAAAATAAAAATTTTACACAATTGCAAAGCTGCTTTTCTGCTAACGCAGCCATTTTGGTCCGCCATATTGGATTCGCCAGTTTAAATTTTGAAATTTTGACTTCATGGACTTAAGCCCGTATCAGATTATCAAAAACTATGAAGGACGACTGTCAGCTATGATTTTTAGTGGACTAATCATAAAAAACGCTGATTGACTTGGTTGACCAACTTAAACTTTAAACTCTAATCTAAAACACGAATCGGCAATCGGAACAATCGGCTCTGCTCTCATCGATAGTTTGATACGGGCTTTAGGAATAAAAGGACAAAGCCTAAACTAGAGAATTGTGGCATACTTGCGATGGGAGGAGTTCTGTTCTTCATCTTTTAAAATGAATCTAAAAAGAATCGCCGTCTTTATTTGCGTGGAAGATATGAATTTTTTTAAGAACCGAGAAAAAGATTTGACTATCGATCGTGATACGGGCGAGCGACAGCGCGCGCAACCTGGACACTCGCAACCCTTGCACTCGCAACCCTTGCACTTGTCAGTGTGATGCATAGGGAGGCACGACGATGCTGGAAGGGATGCGGCGGGTGATTCCTCTGGTTATCGTCGCGGTTCTTCAACACGCGTGTAGCGACAGCGCGATTAGAACGAACGAAAAGAGGCACGGCAGCACGAACGATTATCAGATGTGCCTCGAGAGCTTCGACATCCACAAGGACAAGATCATCAGGACCCAGGACTCCCGTGACATGGGTGCTAAATACTTGAACGTGTTGGACGTCGACTCGAGGTTGGATTGCCTCAAGTACTGCTGCGAGACTGAGCGGTGCGATGTATTCATCTTCGAGGAGAAGGTGACGTAGTGTAATAGTAATCAGTGTAATCCGCAACGTGTTAATAAGTAAAATTTTGTGAGATGATCATCGGAGCTGGCTTGTCATCCTGTCGTTTGGTCCGTTCTAGAAGCCGAGCAGCTGTTATCTTTTCCAGTGTGGTCCGCTGCACGATTTCAAGTGCAAGTTCACGAGGCATGCTAATTATACTAGTGCAGTACGCACCAGTTACCCCATACAGAATGTACAGGTGGAAGAAGAGGTCAGGATATCTCAGCAAGAACATGAGTTGAAATCTCTTAGGTATTTAATGTAATGTAAATTTTAATGTAATTATTTATTTATTTTTTTCTTTGACTTTATGATTAAATTGAATCTTTTCATATTTCAGAAAAAGTAATGAGATTACGCCAGATTATGGATTCACTGAGACTCCTGCAAAATCTATAGTCACGCAAATATCAAAAGTAATATTAACTACACCGATGCCAATTAAACCAGGTTTAGCATTATTTTAAACTTTCTAAAATCTCCAAATTCTAATCAAAGGAAAATATTAAGATTAATATTATAAATCTCTTGTTAATGATAGGTTGCCATAGAAATCAGTACGAATGTCGTTCATCTGGAGACTGTATAGCTATATACAATGTTTGCGATGGCATACCACAGTGCGCAGATGGTTCAGATGAAGCGGCAGATCTCGTATGCCCTACAGAGAAACCAACAATTCCCCCACTAATCCAAATACCAAATCCGCCCGCTGATATTCTTCAGTATCAGCAAATAGTCAATCAGCATAAACCTGTTCCGCCATATTATCCTGCCGTACCAGAAATTAATCCTAAAACTTGGGACATATCAAATCTAGCTCATCAAATGTCACAGCCGCAAAACGTTCTATATCCTGGCCAATCAGTGGAAGTGCCGCAGATGCAGATACATAAGAATTATGGATCATCAGGATACCAATGGGATTACCAACCTCTGTATGAACAAAATAAGGATCCATTTGTTCCTGCTAATACTATTCGCGAACAAAATATAAATCCCTACGAACGTACGTAAAATACAACTTCTTTTTGCATGTATATATATATATATATATATATATATATATATATATTTGTATTAGATTCAGAATGAATGTATATTGTAAATATTTCTAGAACAACCACATATATTTAACCACAAAGGTCCGAGCGTTATAGGAAACAATGAAGTAGATAGGTAATGCAAAATATTAGTCTTCTAATTATTGTGTTAAATTAACCAATTAGATTTTATTTTTTAATTGACTTTATTTTATGTTAGAGGACTATATGTGGATTCTAAGCATCCGTATCCAGCACATTTTCCATTGTTAAATAAACCAAGTTGGCAAGAAAATCCCGTGCAATTTGCACCATCTGTCGCACCCAGTTTTCAACATAAACAGGCTACAGATAACGCAGAAAGTCTTGCAAAAATTACGACGACGCCCGCTTGTGATGTGAGTATATTTTTTGCAATTTAAATTATTCTAGAACTTCTATATAATAATATTTTTGTTGCTAGACCTCGGAAGAACATAAAAATGAATTGATAAACGAGAATAAAGAATCAGTAAAACAAGAAGAAAAAACAAATATACATCCAGTATTGACACATGTAAAAACAAATAAACAAATCACTGAAAAACCAACTCTACCGGCAAATGTGATTACCAAGCATAATCGAGCAAAAGAATCGAAGGGTAAGTGTATCGATAAACTGTTTATAATATAGAATGTTAAGAAAAAATTCATAATATATTCTTATAAATTTTTCAGACTATAAAACTGTAATTGTAATCGAAGAGCACGCAAAAGCACACGAGAGAACTGATGTTATCGCAGAACGTCTTCAAATAATTGAAAATGATGTTTTAAGACCCAAAGGTGCCGTGATATCATTATCGTTAGGACTTATAGCGACCACAATCACGGCTGCTTTAATTGTTTGCCGATTGCGAGTAGTAAAACGGCGTGGAAGATGTGGACATGGACCTTTTGCCCACGATGCCGATTATCTGGTTAATGGAATGTATTTATAAAATGTGACGGAGTTGCTTTATATTCAGATTTAATCGCAATCTAGTCATTTAAATGTATTCATCGTATTTTCATACCATGTTGTATTTCCATGATTAAATTATTAAAATGTCTAAATAGAATTATATCATTGTCTAAAGATAAAACTTTGTTATGCTGTGCTTATTCACGTATAAAATTGTAAGTTTTTTGCGATAATAGCATTTTGATATAGAAGTGCAAGAATAATCAATAAATTAATGAATTATTGTTATTGTGGATTTTTCTATGTATCTATATGTTCCTATATTACCTAATTTTTAATAATATATTTTGAAATGATTTGAATGCAATTAATGAAATTACGAAATGAATTTAATCGATGTGTTAAAGATGTATGTATATACATGGTTATATTCCTAACACATGAACAATAACTAGTAAATGGATACTTTATTTAACAATGCATGATCTTTTATAAAATATCCTCATTTAAAACTAAGTTCTGTTGTATCAAAAAACTCAGTTTAATAACATATTATGACAATCTTAAACAATATGTGATAAATACATTGTAAAACTAATCTTATTAAATATAATAAGGAAAAATTTTATATATTCTGAATTTCTGATTTTTTTTAACAAAATTAACTTGAATCATACGATTATTCAAGTATATTGCGTTTATGCGTGTGTAATACTAAATATAAAAGAAAGAATTTCGTCTTGTTCATTGCCTTATTTTTCTTACTCAAAACTCACAATTAAGTTGATAAAGAATTATCACAAGTATCAATTTTACTTCATTATGCATATGAGATAAATGACACAATGTCAACAATGCATCATAAAACCTCCATAATAAAAGATTTTTCTATCATGTATCGTTCTCACAATCCTTGTTTCAATCGCAGTTCATACTAAATTTTGTTTCACTACTGTGTACGCGCACTAGCTGCAGCATTCTGTTGGGCCCGAATAAATTCAGGATAATCGATATAACCGTCGTTGTTAGCATCATCCATGCTAAGTATAGGGTCTATCAATTGCACTAGTTCTTCATCTTTGAACAGTTTATTACCTTGCGCACCAGAATCCGGGCTGCCTTGTTCTACGAAAACATTTATAAATTCATAACTACACGAGAAAAGATAAAAGAGATACATAACAAATTTAAAACAGCCTTCATACCATGCCAATGTATTAGAGATTTGATCAGCTCACAGCCGTCTAACTTGTTATTGTTATCTGCATCATGCATTTTGAAATAGTGAAACTGCAATTCTTGATCTGTCATTTTGCTGGTATCTATTGGAATTTCGGCATGTTCGGCAATATGACTAATAGAAAGAAATACTATCGTTAAAATAAATTATTAATTTTCTATATAAACATATATCCAGATAATACTTACTCTTTTTCATGCGCTATATTGCCAGCGTTAAGTATCTGCGGCGACCCATGACCATGCCCATGAGGTTGATGACCAGGCTGTACAGGTACCTGTTGTTGTACAGGCACTTGTTGCTGCACAGGCACTTGGTGTTGCACGGGTACTTGCTGCTGCACAGGTACTTGTTGTTGCATAGGTACTTGCTGCATCGGTACTTGCTGAACAGGAATCTGTTGCTGCGCTGGTACTTGATACTTGGACAGAGTTTTAATAAGACATAGATTAATCAAATCAAAAGATGATCCTACTATATAATTATTCTGAAGAAGAAAAAAGCCATATATAGCGAACATAAATTGTAGCAATATTATAGACAATGCTGTTTCATGCAATCCGAATATAGCTTACTTGTTGCTGTGGTACTTGCTGCGCATGTTGTGGTACTTGAACAGGCTAAAACAAATAGATAATCATAATGCGACATATATCAGAGAACTAATAACAGCTGTTACCATGTCAAGTAATTCAACATAAAGACTTTTATGCTAGCATCCATCAAGTTTCCATCAAGTTTCATAGTGGGATATCAAACAATAGCATCAACATTAGCAGTATCTTTTCTATTAATGTGGATTAACTTAAATCTTGCTTTGACTTACTCCTTTTTTTAATTCTAGGAATTGGAAAAATATAGAGTAAATTAAATTGAGATTAAAGTTAATCTGCATTAATGGAAATGGGCATTAAATGGGCTTGTTGATAGATAAAATATCACTGAACAATATGGATTTTTCTTTTCACTACTTAAAACATTGGAAACTGAACTGAGCGACGAAATTTTACTGGTTCCTGATTTGAATCGACTTCCACGTCACGAGCCGCCAAAGCATCTTAGAACCATATGTCATCGCTGATGAAACCGACAAAGTACAGTAAGTTACCTGCTGGTAATGCTGAGGCGGAACACCTGGCGCGACCCTTTGCGCCTGACCGAGGATGTATTTGCATCCAAACGATCCGATTATCAACGCGCACAGTGTCCAATGCATCTCGTTACGCTGCTCGAAAAAAAAAGAAAACAACATACGTTAATCGCGGTTTCGCGATTACTATCGACCTGTTCACACACGCTCGGCGTGATCTCCGTCGACTCGCGCGACCGCATCTCGCGCATCGGTTACCTTGTTTACGCTAGGAAATGTCCAGGTGGCTTGTCATCTGCGTGAACGTTTCCCTCATCGACCACCACGAGGTTTCGAGCGAACCGCCGTTCCACGGATCCACGTTTCGTCGGCAAAACCGTGGCGAACTGACGTGGACAGATGCCGCGCGATTTCACCATCGATAACGTAAGTAAGGAAGATCGTTGATCTTACGTTGGTGAAAACCAACCGCGATGCGCAAAACGCGCACTTTGGAATGCAACGCGCATGTTCAAGAGACGTCTCGAGGGCGTCTTCTTTAAAAGATACTTTTAATAGCGAAATTTTCGATTTACAATTTATTGCAATTTATTGCAATAAATTTTGATCTCACGTGATGAACCGCGATGCGCAAAAACGCGCGCTTTGCTCCCGAATGCAACGCGCATGCCTGAAAGACGTTTCGAAGGCGTCCTTTTTAAAAGATATTTTTAATAGCGAAATTTTCGATTGTAATGGATTTTTTAATCGTCCCGAAAGCGATTATTGGTCATAGTACACTTCTTGTATTTAAAATGCGATGGACACAGGATATGAGTGTTCGAGAAAGGCAGAACAAAAAAGGCAGGAAGTGCAGTATGACGTCATATGTAGCAATCAAAACGTTAAGAGATTTAGGTCCGGTTGCATCAATCTTATTCTGATTTTAAACGAGATTTAAAACTTTAAATTTGTTATATATCAAAGCAAAAGTAAAACTTAAGGTGCTTTAATTTGCATTAATCTTAATAAGATAAGCGCAAATTTAAACATCATAAATTTAAATATCACTTTTGTTTTTAAAAATTAAAGTTTTGCTTAAACTTAATTAAATTAACGTTAATTAACGTACATTAATGATGTCACAATAAATTTAAAAAAAAATTTGTTTTGAGATAGAAAGTATTCATTTACATTAGAAATTATTGTATTGAAAATTCTCCAGCACCGGTTTCTCTTTAATTAAAAATTATACGAACTTCGCAATATTTTTTAAACTTTTGATTGAATGATTTCAATATATAATTATTAAAAAAAAGAGTTCGTGGATTGTGATTCTAGTCACAATATAGTAATCTTTTTTCATCAACATCTCTTAAAATAAAATTAACACAAATAAAAATCACAAGATCTCTACTTCAAACCCAAACTGTTCTCTCTTGTATGTAAAACTTACGAAATACTTCTGATAGAAATAAAAAAAATTAGAAAGCAACCTTTTCTCACACTCGATGGTCATTTCAGAATACGAATCTCTGCGCTGTTGACTTTAAAAATTGAAACGTTTTATTTCATATTTTTATAAGCAAAAACACAACAAAATTCAAGTACACTTATTCCATACATGTTAACTTCAACTAAAATATAATTGTACAGTAACATGACTCGTGTGTGTAAGATGCAACGCTTTTAATGTCTTTATGAATAATCGCATACAATCGGGTCGGACGCGTCCGATGAATGAAGGTCGATAATTTCGTGAAAAGGAAAGGTCAAACGAGTCCTCGCTCGGGCATGCATTGATTGATAAGGGTCATTAATTGCGGGCAAGTTCCCCCCGCACGTTTCTCTCGCTCTCTCTCTCTCTCTCTCTTTCTCGCTCTTTCTCTCTTTAAGTTTTTTTTTTTTTTTTTTAACAAGTCTTATAATCGCACCTTGATATCTCGCTACTGACTATTTTTATCAAGGAGAGTGCTTTGAAATAGTTACAAAAACGGCCGCCACAGAATAAGGCACACAATTGATGCAACGCGCGTATATTTTCAATATAACGATATATATTCGATACTTATTCTTTAACGTTTTACTTTGGTGTGAACGAACGCCGATAGAGCTACCTGCCTGATCATTTTTGGAAATGATTTCAATGATTACATATTCATGCTTAAGGAAACTAGAAACTTTGCAGGAACAACGGTGTCTACGTATTGCTGCTTGTGTGATATTTAGGTTTTTCATTATCGCATTACTTCCTCTCCGCTAATCATCTTCATCAGCATTCATCTGCCGCCACTTCATTAATTTTCTTTTTCTTTGCCTTATTAATGTATTATCAGTATTTATTATCGTTTTTGCGTTTTCCGCCTAATGCCTCGGATGATCGGATACTGTATTTACACATCCCTTTGAGGTACGTTATGCGTATGTTATGACGATGGGGGGCAATAATGCAGTATGCGCGTACATGATTTTTATGAATCACGTATCTATCAATCGATCTATACGCAACCTAAGGTACTCTCGATCTAATCTGGGACACAAGTCAACTAAAGCGTGGGCTATACCGTAACAAGTGCTCTTTTCATTCGTATATATATATATGTGTAAGTACACATATGCATCTTTGCGGTGCGTCCATCCGATCCCGTCGAAATGCGTCTTCATCAAAAAGAAAAGAGGAAAAAAAAAAACCGAGACTTCACATTCCTTCCTTCACATCCGTTCCTTCCTTCTCGACGAACGTTTAGAGGCGAGCCTCCTTCCCCTCGGTAACTCGGTTATCTCATTTCGCATTTCGCCGTGGCTAGATAGTATTCAGATTTGGAATCGAAAAAGTGTTGCCCGCATGTATTCAGTTTTAGAATTTAAGGATTCTTAAAACCATTCTTAAGCTGTAAAGCGCTCTCGAGACCTCGCGAGAGAGATGAATCTTTTATAGATTTCAAATTCGATGGCAAACGAATTGCGCGGATTCTCTACTCTAAGCGTTTGTCGACTTCCTCGATGCAGATCATTATGTGTAACTGTCGTAAGATTTTTTTTTTTTCCCCCCCTATATGTACACCTCAGTCTCCTATAATTCTCAATAACAGGCTAAAGCTATAACTCACTGTTTCATCGCCGCCCGTTGTCAGCTAGTACCCTCTAGTACGAGAAACGCGATATTATATCTATGCGATTATTACGTAACGCTATTTAAAAGCATGTATTATTGAACGATTTGCTTTGTCGGCCTTCCTCGGTACATCCCCTTCCTCGACTAGAGAAAAAAAAAAGAGGAGGGGGGAGGGGGAGAACTCACGGATGAATACGCGGTGTACTCCGATAATGCCGAGTTGGAAATTGCGAGCAGTCCGAACTTTCCTAAGCGAAGGCCATTCAACGTGATTACGTGCAACAATAACTCCTAGTCCTTTAACATTCGTGTCTTTTATATAGATTCTAAAAATAACGCTCTTGTCATTTCGGCTGAGTGTGTTACGAGATATCGTAGCGAGAATAAAAACAACAGTCCGGCATCGTCTTATGCCTCAACAGACACCTCTCCATATACTCGTGTGTACTTTTCTCTTTCTCTCTTCATTTTCCCCCCTTCATCGTCTCATTCAAAATAAAATTCGCACTTTTATTACTTTTATTCGGAGAAAAACAACGTACTGCCTCTTAATAATAAACTCGAGACCAGATAAAAGCTGAACATCGAAATGTCACAAATCTTTGTCTTTGATTACGAACAATGGCATATAGCAATGCTTAATGACAATGGTAAAATGCTATCGTAGAGTGAACTGCTACAATGCATGCTCCCACACACATAAAATTTTGAAAGTTTCCACGAAAAGTTACAATATCATGAACGAACTCTTAAAACTATTTACAAAAATGGATCGCGATCCGCGACGCTTTTGAAATAACGTTTAACGTAGTTCCTCTTTTGAGCGTATCACTGAACTTTCGAAAGAATATATCGATTCGTTAAATCTTTGTTCAACGAAAGTGAGACATTTGGTTTTGAATTGTGAGGTGCGTATTACACGTATTACATTTACGTGCGCGATATACCTGGAGAAAACACACATCTCGGCCTACTTCGAAAAGGACAGCCCTGACGCGATATTACGTAATAATATATTATCATAATATGCGAATTTTATATATATTATATATATTATAATAATATATTTCTTCGTTTCAAAAAATTGTTCGTGATAGGATACGTCTCTCTCGATATTATTGTATGTTGCAGCACACCGCTTTGCACGGTATCGAACCCTCGCCGTTCTGACCCCGTTCGTAGAATGGCCATTGCTTAAACATCTTCGAGTCGAATGATAAGAACGGCGACGTTCCGGTGTAATAGCTCTCGTACACTTCGAACGCCTCGTCGACGGGTATCTTCTCGTCCTCCAAGGTGACGCTCTGATTTTTGTCCGGTATAAAGATCGGGATCTCCTCGTCACAGAAATGCTCGATCGTTTTGTCGACCGGATCATTTGGCACTGTTCTCGATCTCGACGAGATCACCGACGTGCTGAACTCCCCCGATTCCTCCTCCGCGCTGACAGCACTGTCCCGTGCCAGTCTGTAATATTTCTCCACGTGCTCCACGGTGGCTTTCTCGATCTCGGTGTTATCGTCCTCCGCTGCCTCACCCTCGTACAGGACCCCCGGACTTTGCAGCAGTCTTCTCGGGGTTATCACAGGTTCTATGGTTTCCGCTTCCCAGCATTCCAACACGTCCGGCTCCTCTATGCTGATTGAGGACGCTATCATCATGCTATCGTCATTCTCGTCGTTCTCACTGCTGTTCCTGGTTTTCTCATGCATTTCCACATTTTCATTAATCACGTCGATGTGAGCAGCGGTCTTCGTCGCGCTGGGATCGTTAAGCGGAACAGGTTCGTACGAAGACGTCGGTAATAATCTACCATCTTCCGAGACAATAATCTCTCCCTTCTCGAACGTTCGTACGCTCACGGTACCGTCCTCGTTCGTTTCCTTGCCCTTTTCGCTGTTTAAGTTATCGATACGTCGCATTTTGATATCAATATTCTCAACGGGGTTTTTACTAATTTTTCTCAATGTCTTCATTCGTCTTGCGTTAACTCTCTTCGAGTTTATCCGAGAACTTAAAGCAACCCTCATACCCGCAACGCTATCCTCCTGAGTAAATTCGCAAACGTCATCAACATTTTTTTTCGACGCGTCTTTCGATCTCACGGCAGTGACAAAATCCAAGGAAACCAACGAGGAAACCAATTGGCTCTGCGTCTTTTCATCGATGTTCCTATTCCGTTTGTCATTTCTCTTCGCCTTCGTTTTTCTTTTTACAACTTTCGCATCCTTCGCATCCTTCTTCCTTCTGCCGATTGATGTTGACGTCGAATCAGCCTCCTGATCGTTCCTGGCGTTGTTGTTGTTGTTGTTGTTATTATTGTTGTTGATCTTTGCGAATTCGCCGCAGCTAGCCGTGCGTGACAACAACGTAACGTCGTCGACGCCGCTATTAGCAGATAGTGCAGGCATGGGGTTGCCTTGCAAGTTTTTTGGCGGCTTTGCATCCATTTCTTCGTCATCCTCATCCGTCTCGCTCTCCGAGGTTGACGCTGACGTTATGAAAAGATCGGGCGAGTTCGCTCGACGTAGCCACTCCTTCACCGCGGTCGTAATGGGGTACTTCTTCGACAGCCGAGTCTGGCTCTCGAACCCGGAATCCTCGTTCGAGCCTTCAATCACATCTTGCCTTGTTTTGATCGTATCCTTACATTCCTTATCCATATTCTCCACATTTGCCATTTCTCGCTCCGTTTCTTCCAGCTTGTCATTCACGATATTGCACGATTTGCAATCCGCATCCGACAGTTCGACGGCTTCAAATTGCTGTACAAGCTTTTTGTTCTCCACATCGAAATGCGTAGCCTCATCCAAATCCGGCCCGGGCGTAGACTCCCTCACGAATTTCAAACCTTTCTTGTATTTTCTAGGCAATGCGAGTGACGCTGCTCGCGTAACGGACGAATTATTGCAGCATCGTAATCGTTGAAGTTCCTCCTCTTTCTCGTTGACGTTTATCGTTGTTAAATTGGTACCATTGACTTGAGGGCTCACTGATCTCGACGCCTTCTCTGTTAAGTCGGCAACATATTCGTGATTCACGTCGCCGTTAGTTAAAGTTTCTTCGGGGCATTTGATATGGTTATTCAATGTATCCGTATTAACATCGTTGCTGTTATTTTCGAATTGCTCATACTTTGCATTGGCACTGGTTGAATCGCCATCGTTTTCATCGACAGTATCAGTTCTAGAAAGCGCTTCATGATCAGTCAGAGCTTTGCTTTTCGTCTCCGCGATCTCATTCGTTATCGCTTCCACATTCGCGACTAAGTGATTCGCTTGACTGTTAGTTTCTACGTTCCTGTTTCTTGGCACGTGTCCAACTGTCGTCGACTGTGCGTTCTTCAAAGGTGTTTCCGTAATGCAAATTTGCTCGGCATTGCAAATTGTCATTTCTTCTTGCTTCTTGCTTGGACTTTGAACAGTCGATGAATCACACGTCTCGCAACCGGCAGATTCCGTTTCGATGTGGGATGACACATGCGGTACGTCATTGACAGACAACGTAATTTCTTCGTTCACAGGAGTGATGGTGGATGTCGAAACAGGATTAGAGAGGATTCGCGATTGCAATGCCGGTCGCAGCTGAAATTCCTGACACTCGGGATTGAGTGGTCGATTCGCGGTCGTCGTCGTTGTAGTCGCGGTCGTGGTCGGACATTCCGACCAAGGTAGTCGGGAAGACGATACATCATTATCACATTCGGAACTGTATTCCCCTTCCTCCTCATCTTCGGTGTTACCCTGGATTCAATCAGAAAGAATGTGACACAAACTTGACCAAGCAACATTTCAATCAAATAATTACCAAATATTTCTGTTCTATTTATATCTATACATATTTGCTGTAGCGTATTAATTATTTCTTTCATAATTACAAAAACACTTTTTGAGCTTTAGTAATATTTCCTGTATTTTATGTTAGATGAGTTTTTGCCGACTTACCAAAGTAGGTCTTCTCTGCTTTCTTTTCTTTCTCTTCTTTCTTCGTTTGGCGCATGCCATTGTCATAGCCGTTACGTCCATGGTTCTCACCAATGGCCCGCCCTGGATGGTAACACCTTGGACAGAAGAAATCGCCGCGTGTTATCGGTCTGTCGAGAGGACACGAGGATTAGTCAAACGAATAATAGATATTTCAGTGATATTTGACGACCCGATGAACAATTCGGATTATGATCAGAGGATCGTAAACGGCTAGAACGTGTCGGAGTTGTCGCGAAAAGTGAACTTGGCTTCTCCCTGCTTCTCTTTCTAATGCCTTCCCGACTTCTCGTATATCGAAGCGAATGTTAACACACAAGTGTTATTTTTAAGCGAGCTCTATTTGAGATGTAGCAACGCGTTGCCAAACTGCCATTGCTAAACTCTCATCTCGCGTCTCTCTCTCTCTCGCGCAGCCAAGACATATTTTCCGACGTTGAATTGTGCCGGTGTGACCACGGGACGTATCCTCTCGTGCGGTGGCCGCGAGTCAATGGACTCTCGGATGAGATATGCTTCGGTTACAGGTGTGCAAGGTGTGAGAACAATGAGACAATACGGCGTGTCGAAGCTGTGAAAAATATACCGATCGACAGTTACGCGAGCGACACGTGTCGTTAGTCGAGCGATAAATAGACAAATAGAGCGTGTACAGAGTTGGAACTTTAGGAACGATCGTGAAGAATGAACATACGTACACCGTCGGCTAATCATCATCGGATGATCACACTCTCGACGTGAAAAACCGCCGAGCGATCTCGCGATATTGTTTCTCATGAGGCTGCGGAGAACACAAAGGCCCCCGTTTCCACGATCGTGTCTAAAGCGTGGTACCTTCTTTGCGAATTATTACCTTTTACCTTGAATGTGGTAGAGGCACAGCAGTAATAAAACAGCAATGATGCCGATGGACGGGACAGAAGTCATGAATCGGAGCATATCCCTTTTCCTTGGCCGCGCTTCCGATCGACACTGTTCTCGTTTAACATTAGAAATAGGTACAATCAAGCGTACTACGGCCAGTGTACGGCGCAGTACGAGGAAGGAGCGAGTTCAATCAGAGAGCACAGATATAAATGTCCAATTATCTATGCGAATTACTTTTTTCTGTTACTTTTTCATTTCATGCTGTTAATCAGTTGTTACGTAACAACTACAAAGTGCATCGTATTAATATTTTTCCTTTAAATTAATTCTTTAATTGAGTTAATTTTTTTTAGAAAATTGTCGAAGCATAACGGTTTCTGAATTATAAGTATTTAAAAAATCAAGAATTATTTAAGAAATAAATTCAGAAGCTGCTAACAACGAACAACAAACATTCGGACAAATACAAATAAGCTTTACTGTATAATAAAATCTAATCAACTTTAATTCTATTCTTTCTATTATCTACGTTTTTAGAATATAATCCAAATTAATTTCTAATAATTAACGAACATATTCTAATAAAGTTCTGTATTTTTTTCTACTGGAAAACTGTATATCTTAATCATGCTTGCACTCCCTCCCCGGAATGCGCTTCTCTCATTTATATGCAAATGTAGGCAATCAATCAGTTCACACACTTGTCCGTTGTTCCGTCCATCCGACTGTGAACAGAACGAAGGCTACGAACGCAAATGTAAGTTTGCTCATGCAAGTAGCAGAGAGCAAATACGGATTTCGCCAATCCATGTTACAGCACGCGCATGTTACTCAAGGGGGCGATCCCAATCCTAAATCTATATATCTCGTAACTAACCATTAACGTTGACCAAGGGTGGCCCGAACATGTAGTGACCCGGATACATGTATGGCTGTGGTATAGCCGGCATGATCTGCGACACGTGCACTGGCTCTTGCATCAGCAGTGGATCCAGGTAAGGGTCGATCGTCGTTATGCCGTTTTCCAAATGTTGCTGTGCTTCAAGATGAAGTTGTTCTGGTGGTTGTTCTTCTACAAGCTGCTCCTTCATGGCCTGCTGTTCCATGGTCGCACTGTCCGCTTCTTCGGCTTGTTCCTCGATCTCCCCGGCTACGCTGCCGCTGCAACTAGCGCTACCAGTGCCGCTCTCATTCCACACATTGTTAGAAGCTTCCGCTGCCGCCATTGTGCCATTCTGCTCCTCCACTATCGTGACCGGTTCTGTACTTTGATTAGTCTGCAAATAAATAATTAAATAATGAAATAATAATTAATCCATTCAATGATCGTTTTAGATACAAAGTAAATTTTTTTCTATAAAACATTAAAATACCATTTTATGATAAATAAATAAGAAGTAATTTTAAAATTAAATTGACATATATTATTTTTCTGACATAATTGTGACTTTATGAAGATTTATAAATACTTCAATCAAAAATTTAATTAATAAAGAAGGAAAGAAAGATGAGATTTCCGATATCCCACCTGGTAATCCATTAAGCAATATGGTTGATTGGCAAGTTTAGGCACGAAGGCAGGATTGATCCATTCGATCGGTCTTAGAGGAACCGGACCGCAGGGTACAGTCGCTAGAACGCTTGGTCCAACTTGAGCAGGTACTGGAGCAGGTCCGACTAACATCACAGGATATTCGTAGTAGTAGCCGCTTGCATGATCGTAAAATGTTCCGTATCCTAACTGCGCTCCTGGCTCTACCATGGGCGGATATTCTCCCGTTCCGCTGTCCCTATCCAATAACTGCTGGTCCTCAGTAGTTTCGCTGCCGTCTGCAAGAATTATCAATTCAGACACTCTGTACTCATTTCTCGACAGACCAAAACGTATTAGCAAGGAGACGATAAAAACTTTCTCCGTCGCTGTAGAAAAAAAATGAAAGGCGCGGTATTTTCTCAAGAAGAAACAGAAAAAATAATTTATTAGAGACGTTTGATGTTTCAATAACAAAGCAGTTTATTCTGGAACATTGGAGGCCAAGAGCTTGGTGGAAATTGAAATATTTCAACTTGATTAACCCGTCGGTGACTCACTGGCGATAAAAAGATTGGTTGCTGGCGTTCTAACATGTTTTTCCCCACTGGCGTGTTACAGCATACAGTAATACTACTATTCATTCTACGATCATCACCTGCGGTGGAATGTGACGCCGATTGACTCTCCGTGGTCGACGGCGTAGCGCTGGTGCTTGCGTTTCCGGTCCAAGGCTTCTTGCGCGACAGGTAGCCCTTTTTGAAGAGGACATCCTGCCGCGGCGTCGTGATCCTCGTGTACTCCTCCTCGTTAAAGATGATCTTGGGCTGCGACGGCGAGCCCACGCTCTCGTCTCTGTGCGATCTCGAGCCGCTGCTGGCGTAACCGCTCGTACTTCCGCCGCTGGCGCTGGTACCAACCCAACGTGGCTTGTAGCTGCCTTGTTGTCCATTCCGTTCAAAGTGTGTGTGCGCGCTTGTCTCTTTCTCCTGGCTTTTCACGTAGTCTTTTCGTAAACCCTCCTCCTCATCTTCTTCACCGGGTGGAGCTGTCGAATCAAGAACGACGATGATTAAAATCGAAACTCACTATATTTTGTTTTCAAACAAAATCTAGTTAATGCAATAAAAATTTCGTATTCTTTCTTAATATTTCGAATTTCAAAATACCCCAAAATATTTCTAAGGGTACCTAAGTAAGGTAAAATTTAAATTTTTCAAATATTTCTCTGGAGATATTTTACAATTAAAATTGTGCCCAATTATATATACATATATATATATATATATATATATATATTTATTTATTTATGAATATTTTTTTTGTCGAAATATAAAGTTAAAAATATTAAATAACTTGAATTTCTAGGAAATCGATCTTCCGCATATGCAGGTTACATTGATAAAAGTGAGCAATTAGTGGACATGTAATTGCGGAGTGTCAATCAGATTTGAAAAAAAATGCTAGATATTTCCTTGACATCTAAAACGATCACTTTGCACGTTGTATTTACGGCAGAAATTATATCCTTCTAAATGTAATTCGCGTGAAATTGATCGTATCAAGCAGGAAGTTTTTATTGAATTGATGCAACGTGCACAAGAGCGTTTCGTCCAAACAAAAAGCGAAGCCGCCACTAATTCGTGCAATGCAAAACATGTACACGAATTAGTTTGTCTCATTCAGAATTTCATGTACAAAACGCGCATACAAATAATATTTTGTTAAACAGAATCGAATAATGAATAGAACTGCAAAATTTATAATCTCTCTCAAAGTGTGTGTGTGTACCAATTTCGTATTTTACAAGTTCAAGATCGCTTACTTCGTAAAGTAAATTTAAATTACTCAATAATCTGATGAAATCTTGGTGAAAAAAATTATTTAAGTCACATTTGCAAGCTGTGAAAGCTAAAGAAAGCTTTACATCATCTTTTCCTTCATCATTTTTTTTCCGTTTTTATTCTTCTCTCATAAATCTCAACGCTTTTACATCAATGAATCGAGGTTCAATGAATCGAGCAATAAGCTGCGTTTCCCATGCGTAATTATCCTGGGATAATGTTTGCGTACCATCTTGGTACCTCGCTAAGAGCAGCACATGATTCGAGGAACCGATCACGTGCGTGACTTTCTTCTGTCGACGCCACTGCATCACACCCTTTCTCCACCTGACGTTATCTCCTCTTCAGGATTACTCCGACCGATTAACCGGCGGGAGAGATCGCCCCTCGCTGACGTTCCGATCGTTTCGACCCGGACGTCTGATGGCGCTTGACGTAAACCGAGAGATCAGGGACGTTCACAGGGAGAACGGACGGGGGAAGGAGGCGGGGGGGGAGAGAGGGAGGGGCCGATCACCGCAGCGACTGATGAAGGACGAAGGGATGACGGTAACGAGTAATATGCGAGTACAGAATTAATCCGTCGGCCGCGATGCCACGAAAGCGACTGCGATCGGCACGGGGAAGGGGGTGGTGGTGCACACGCCGGACGGGGCGAAGAGCGCGAGGGATGTGTTTGCGCGTACGATAGCCGGGAGGACGCGTTGCCCATTGGCTGCGGCCTCCACCGGTACCAGAATAGCAAACGGAATTAGAATAGAAAACGGGCTACCAAGGAGTGCCCTGTCGAGCTATCGACGACCGATGCCTTCGTATGAACGAAGAATCGTCCCGGCGATTTGATATCTTCATTTTCAACCTGACCACTCAAATCGATTTTTCCAGAATCATTGCTATAATAAATTCTTGCGGATAGATGCTTTGTGTTACAGAGTCTGCGTATGCGACAATCCGTAAACTGGATTCAAATCCAGTTGATACAATGTATCCGATTTATTGCCATTCTCGTGTTTACCACGTCATGAAAGTCAAAGGGTAAATAAGTGATCGCTGTAAACTCTCTTGTAAGCTAGGTTTTTTTAGACGATTTGCTAAGACGGCAATTTTTCTCATGCGAATAGGAGTGCGAGAACTCACTGAGAAAACAATTATAGTATGATCACTAAATGGAGTGCTAATTTTTGCCGGCCGGTGTACGCAATGGCAATACCGAGAGGAAATTTAGTGTCTTGGGAGGCATATTTGCGGCCAAAAATATATTTTACGCTTGTCTCTCCAACGAATACTTACGGTTATTTTAATATTTCAAAAAATTGCCCATTTTTTCATTTCATTTTTCGTTACTAACATTGTTCCATTAATATATTATCCCTTTTACATTCTTGAAAGTCACGTCATATGTTTCACTGCAAAATATGAAGGACATCTACTTAAAAAAAAAAAACTTGGAAAAAATTGATTAGAATGTATTCGACAATGGAACTCGCGGATATTAACATATGATAAACACATATATAACGGATGATTAACTTAGTAGTGTGTGTGTGTGTGTGTGTGTGTGTGTGTGTGTGTGTGTGTGTGTGTATTCTCGAATTCTCACGACCGGAAATACAAACGCCGAAAACCGGAAAAAATGAGGGACAAAAAAAGAGCGAGAAAAAAAAAGAACGACGCGGAATTATTCGTCTGCGACACGAATTATTTTCGAAACGTAACGCCAACGTGTCGCTCCAACGTGCGTACAAGACATATCGCATATCGCATTCTCGTTCCAGATTCCGTCCTGGCTTACGTTTCAAGCGAACCGTGCATTAAAACGTCTAGATATCGCGCGGGCGTATTAATATCTACACGGTAGGTTTCATTGATCGTGAGCAAGCGGGCTAGTGCTCGGCCGTGTACGAGTTAGTTATCCTCGGGGTATTCGAGTATCCCCCGGAACACCCCGCTCGCCCGTTATCCCGAATCCCGAAAGATAACATCTGAGAGCCATTATCCAGCCGGTGTTTCAAGACGCTGATAAGTAGAACTGGGCTCATGCAAACACTCGCTCGGCCCTCGGCATTGGTGCATTCGCGACGTACCGGCCAGATCGTATATTGCGAAAGTGTGCCCTTGGCGTTGAAAATAATTTTTCCTTGATATCCGATTTTGTACGCAACACGTCCCCGTCGATATCATGTAATATTTCTCTTGTAATCTCGCTTATAATCGTTAAAAAAAAATTCGCATCTTTTACGCGAATTCATTTCGTTTTTCAGGAAATTTGAGATTATTTTTCCGACGATATATGTTTTATGTCTCTGATAATTTATAATTTTGCAAAAAAAACACTGAAAACAGAAATCTGTATTGTGAACAGATATTTATGGCGATTAAATGTTTTCGTACAAACAGTATTCTTCTACGAAATCTTCTTAATAAAATTGGAAATCTTGCAAATATGGCGAGTGATGAATAAATCGTGCGATTCGCGGAATTGATCTTTTTTTTTGAGCAAGAAGCATAATTAATGTTTCCAATTTTTGGATAATTAAGTTTCAAGTTATAATTTTATTAAAACTTTGAAATTTACTGAAGAATCATTCATGTGTTTTCTTTCTTAATATTTACATTGTCGGAAACTGCTATTCTGAATTGTTAATGAATGAAAACTACAAACACCAACATTTTCGTGATTATTTCCTGTATTAAGTAGAAATTTTCTCTTCAACTTATTTAGGAAATTTAAATTTTGAAATATTAATCTAGAAATAATACATTTTGTATATACAAATGTACCATTTCTCAATGCGCTATCTTTGTATTACTTCTTTTTTTATCACAAAAGAATTTTCCATTCCAACATATCGACGAGAAAAGTATCACAGAAAACTCAAGAGAAATTACGTAACGTCATGAAAGTCACATGGCAATGAGCACAGCAGAAACGCTTCGTGTCTTCGGGGAAAAGGATCGTAAAATTTTTCCGCGAACAATTCTCCACTTAAATCATCGTAACTCAATTGAATTTTCCTTCCTCGTCCACGACAAAAGCAAAACTGAGAAAGCCGGACGACCACCACGCCCGGAGTCTGCGTTTCGCGTAATTTCAGTCAATGTAAAATTGAAGCGAAACTCGCGGAATGCACTCGTCGGTCTCGCCGATTTCGGAAACGCTGCCGCTCACAACCCTCGTCGTGGAGGGATGCTCGAATTCGAGGAATCTCTCGCCGGCATAAGCGGACGGTGCATGCCGGCCTGCACGCTGCTTTTCGCCAGGAAAAACCGCGGAATCCTCTAGGATCGTCCCGACGGCACCGCACTGGCGCGATGCTCGTCGCTTCGATTTTCCGCGGTCGTCTGCGACTGTGCAACGCGAACGATTTTGCGCCATCATACGCTTCCCCGTCGCCCCCCACACCCTCGCTCGCGAGGAAAGATTCCGTCTCTCTCCCTGTCCCATGGCTAAAAGCCGATTGTCGTAATTAGTCGTACCACTCTGTACTACACTTAACAATAATATTTTCTATCATAATGGATTATTTTGTTGAAGTTACAAAGAGAAAATTTATCTTCTAATTGCAACCCAATTT